TGTTGTCTTCCCCCACTTCCCATAGTTTCCAATATTTTCTGGGGAATCGACGATTCATTGTGTCTGTGTGTTTTTCCCCCTCCTGATTTACGCTGAGAGAGTGGGCTTCTCTCCAACCGTCTGCTTGAACGGCAGACCAGGTCCAGATGTGCGGTCCTTACACGAGGCAAACAGCTCCAAGAAGACGCCCAGGGTCCAGTCCAGATTCTTGATTGCCTTGGGCGAAATCTGGAGTCCATGGAATTGCTTGCTGCTTCTTCTCAAGATTGCTGATGGGTGCACCCCTGGTGAAAGGGTCGGGTTCTCCGTGGCCACGCATCCGCAGACTCCGTCGTCGGATGTCTAGAAACAACGGGCCTGTGACGCCCCACAGAGGGGAAGCCCCACATGAGGTATCCAAGAGGCCTCTTGTCAACGACCCAGGCACAGCGGCGGCAATGGCCGAAGCGAGCACGCCATGAGATGAGCGTTCAGCCTGCGTCCGATGGACCTCCCCGCTCCCGCCCCCCTGCTTGTGCAAACGCCCCCGTGTCCTCGCCATCGCTCGGACGTCCATTCCCCGTGCATTTCTCGATCTCGTGCGTGATTTTGTGTTCGATGATCCATGATGCTCCTCGATGGTCCTCGCCGAGAAAAGAAATACACACGTCCGAGCGAAACCAAGTGACCAATTGCGCTGCAAGCGATGGCTCAGCGCCCGCAGCTGCCATTGGGGCAGCACGGTCCTCTGGAGCACCCCATGTCGGCGGACAGCACAGGAGTCGGCGCCATGGGGCAGGAGGGGTGCGATGGAAAGGATGTCGCGCGTGGCGCGAGCGCACCTAGCTTGTCATGCAGCTCGTCCTCCTCCTCCTCCTCCTCATCTTCCTCTTCCTCCTCTTCCTCCTCCTCCCTGCTCCTCGTCCCTGCTCCTCCTCCCTGCTCCTCCTCCTCCTCCTCCTCCTCCTCCCTCCTCCTCCTCCTCCTCCCTGCTCCTCCTCCCTGCTCCTCCTCCCTGCTCCTCTTCTTGTTTTTCCTCCTCCTCCTCCTCTTCCTCTTCCTCTTCCTCCTCCTCCTCCTCCTCCTCCTCCTTCTCCTCCCTGCTCCTGCTCGCGGCGGCTTCCATGCAACATCGAGACAACTGCGCAGCCCAGCCGAGCCACGGTACTGATCTATCAACGCTGTCATGCGGTCGTGCGGTCACCGACGGACGCACAAAGCCCAATACTTACCCAAACATCGGAACGTGCGCTTTGCCGAAACTCAGTTACAGTGTGTTCTGATGCCCCTCGCGGCGTCCGCCTCTGAGCTCCCCGATTCCGATCCGCCTCCCCCTCCTTCTGCTCTGCCTCGCAGTGTCAGCTTACTGTTTTTGTGCTTTGTGTTGCCACCCCTCTGTGGGCATCTCCAGCCTCCGATCCCAATGCATACACACATATATATATATATATGTATAGATATAGATATGTCGCCTCGTCGTCATCCGTCGCCATGTTTCTCGGGCTGCTTGCTCAGCAACGCTCCCTCGCCTGCCGCTCTGCAGTGCGCGACGCGCAGGCAGCGGCCGCCGCCGCCCAGGCTCGAGCAAACTACCAGCCGCTGGCGTCCGGGTCAGGCGGTCCGCATATGGCCTCCGCCAGGTGCTGCGCACTTCGGGGAGCAGCATAAGCGGAGCAGGAGAGAGAGGGTAGGAGGAGGAGGAGGAGGAGGAGGAGGAGGAGGAGGAGGAGGAGGAGGAGGAGGAGGAGGAGAGGGAGGAGGAAGCGGAGGCGGAGGCGGAGGAGGAGGAGGAGGCGGAGGCGGAGGCGGAGGAGGAGGAGGAGGAGGAGGAGGAGGAGGAGGAGAAGGGTCCCTCCTGCTGCGGGAGGGGGAGGAGAAAAAGAGGAGGGCGTCCAGGGACCAGAGGGGGGGGGGGGAGAAGGCGCGAGCAGCGAGGAGGGGGGAAGGTGGAGGGAGGGTGGATAGAGGTGTGTGGGGCGGAGGGGGGGGGGGGGGCGCGTCGGATGGAGGACGGGAGCGAGGGGAGGGGTTGAGGGGGGCAGCAGGGGGAACGGAGGGCCAATATGGAAATGCTCGGTGAATAGAAATGGCGAGGAGTCCAGAAGGACATGAGGACCCTCTGTTTCTCTAGCGCTGCCGCACCGTGTGGGCAGCGTGCAGCCCCTGGCGGGGATAAAGAGACTACCAGACGACAAGAACGAACAGGGACCTACCTTACGGCCAGCGTGCCAAGAGCAAGAGCACAGTTCTGTCGGCAGCCGTGTGTCGGGTGTTGCTAGAAGTGCTCCTGGCCCAAGAGATCCCCAGGAATTCCAAGCCGGCCTCACGGCCTCCAGAGCACCCCTCACGAGGCCCATGGAGCCCCTCGGGCGACAGCATGGCTGTCACAGCCAGTGCGGGCCCCGACCAGAGCGAGCGAGAGCGGAAACCGCGGACCAGCGGAGGCGGCGGCTGGGGCGGCGAGAGCCACACGCAAACACACACACAGACACAGACACAGACACACACACACACACACACAGACACACAGACACACACAGACACACAGACACACAGACACACAGACACACACACACACAGACGCACACACGCACACGCACACACGCACACGCACACGCACACGCACACGCACACGCACACGCACACGCACACACACACACTTTTTGCGTCGGCGGCGAGGTAAGGGTCGTCCGCGCTAGCGGAAAGGCCTAAACGGGGGTGCCGTTTAGAGCGAATTGCCCCACCATGCAGGAAGGGGAGAGGCGGAGGACGCGGCCGAAAGAGACGGCGGAGGGAGCACACACACACACACAAACACACACACACACACACACACACGCGCACACACATATACACGTACACGGCTGGAGTCACGCGTGGCGCACGAGGGCAGGGCGCTGGGAAGAGCGCGAGAGACCGCATGCGCAGCCAGCCCTCGTCCAAGCCGGCCACGCTGTGTGTGTGTGTGTGCGCGTGTTTGTGAACATCCTTCAACCCGGCTTTGGCCAGCATCAATCCACCTGGGCATCCACTTCTAATCCCCATGCAGCCATCGTGCTACCATGAGGGGCGCTAAATGAAGAACGAAGGGACTTGTCCTGGCCACGGTGAGCACCGGCCGTGAATCGGTTCCCCGATCTAGGTCGAAGGAACGTCCCGAAAACCAGAGCCCCTCTAGAGCCCAACGTGGTCCGTATTCCCTTACAGTCGGACCTACGACAAAAAAACACATCCTTCAAGAACATGAAACCCTCCGCCGGCCAAATAACACAGAACATCCAAGGGTGCCCTGCCCAGGATGCACAAGAACATCCAACAGACACGAAGAACATTTGGGTACCCTCCCCGAACCGACCTCGATCTTATACCACGGCCCGACCGTATCCAGCATCCTGGTGCCTCGCTGCCGACAGGTGGCCTATCGTTGTTTGCTCATTGCGGTTGTGATCAATGCTGCGCTTCCTCCTATGATGAGCCGCCCGGTTGCCGGCCCATCGTTAGCAGGTCGCGGACCAAGTACCTCGCCTCGGCAGGGTAGGGGATGCGCAAGGGTTTGGCCATCGAGAAGACGGTCCTTCTCCTGTGCCTCGACAGCATTCCCAAGAGTAGACTGAATAAACGGATGGCCGTCATGGTGCGTTGGCGAGGATCCTCCAGACGGGAAGTGCGAGCGCTGGGGGAAGAGATTACAATTATGGCAGTGTTGAACAGCGGTGCCAATGGCGACAAGACGTATTTACCCTTTCGATCGAGGGGTCCGCACAATACTGGCGACAGTGACAAGCGTGACACACTACAACGGAGGAGAGTCCGGATATATGGGCGATACCCTCAACGACGAAGAGGAATGGGGTCTTACCCACGACGCCATCCACCATCGTGCCACGAGGCACTGGGTGACATGTTCTCAGGTCCGTTTGATGCCTCTGTGTGTGGAACATTGTGAATACCCTGCAAGGGGCTGGACCGATCGGGGGACACAGGCTCAGGGGGGGGGGGGGGAAACACTGAGCTGGAATCGGCGATGCATCGTCGACAGGTCGGCGATAGGCCCCCGATGGCCAAACCGCCCGTTCCTGGGCGGGGTGGGCTTCGCGGCTATCAGGCCCCATACGGAGCTGCCCCGATACGCAACACGCAACCCGTGGCATGCCGACATGGAGCTCAACACGAAGATCGAACACGCACGTTAGGCGCGACACGTTCGCCAAGACGTGGGCCACTGCGTGGCGAGCCAACACGGACGTTTTGACAACACGGCACGTGTTGCGTTTCAGCACGGGCGTATCAGGGCAGCTAAGAGTCCCAGGAGGAGGAGGAGGAGGAGGAGAAGGAGAAGGAGGAGGAGGAGGAGCAGGAGCAGGAGCAGGAGCAGGAGACGGAGCAGGAGGAGGAGGAGCAGGAGCAGGAAGAGGAGGAGGAGGAGGAGGAGGAGGAGGAGGAGGAGGATATCGGCGCGTGGGGGTCGGTGCATCCCCCCCCGAGTCCATCCCCCCACCGACGTTGCCCCCGCGGGGCCCAGCAGGCATCGGACTCTTGTCATTCTTGGCTGCCTCTTTTGGTGCTCCTGGGGGGCGCCGCGTGACTCTTCGGGGGCCTGGGAGCGTTGCTGGGAATCGAAAATCTGAAGACCAAGCCAGGACGAGTGTAAAGCTCGATGAGGATGAGTAGCGAGAATGTCTGAGATCCGGCGGCTCCGGGGGATGTCTCGGGCGTCGCGGCCTTCTCAGAGCTTTCCGGAACGCTCTGAGGGCGTTCTGGAACGTTCTGGAACGGATTTCTCCTCTTCCTAGCCCCGTCCGACAATTCCAACATGCCTTGAAATGGTCCCGTGGGGCCGTCCTGATGCTGATTTGGGGGCGTCTACGGCCATTTTGGAGGCCCCGTGGGGGCCGGCTGGGAGCACCGAGGGAGAAAGCGGCGCTGCGGAGGCACTCGCGCGCGCGACGGTGCGCGGGCGGCGTGCGCGCAAGCGCCCGCGCAGTCGACCGCCTGCCCCTGCGCTGGCCACCTGCGCCAGGGGGCAGACGAAGTCCGAGGATCAGCACCAGGGGCGCACGAAGAGGACGAGGGGGGAGAAGGGAGGAGGACGAGCTGGGTGCGCTCGCGTCCCATCCGACGTCCTGCCCCTGCCTCTCATCCATTGCCATGGCGTAGATCTCTCCTCTCTAGTCGCACGATCGGCTGTCGCAGCATGGCACAACATTACATGGCATAGCATGGTGTTGAAGATCAACGCGTAGCATGACATAGCATGGCGTGGCGACGCCCCAAAGTGGGGGGGGCTTCTGCGGCCCACAGAATCAGAGAATCGACAACGAATGTGGAATCACTTCCGATGGTTTCTCGGGGAGGTTTTTTTAAAGATTTTGGGGCCGATTTGGAAGGACCGAAAACCATGCCGTGGCATGGCGCTGGAAATAATGACACCAGCGCTGCACCGGTAGCACGATTCGGAACGAGCGGAAGCGTGGAAATAAGGCCAGCGCTGCAGCGGGAGCACGATTCGGAACGAGCGGTAGCCAGAAAATGAGGCCAGCGCTGCAGCGAGAGCAGCATTTTGAACAACAGCCCAAGCGCGGAAGCGCGGAAAAAGACGCGCAGCTTGACATAGCATGGCGTGGCGACGCCCCAAAGTGGAGGGGGGCCCTTGCGGCCCCAAAAATCAACGAATCGGCAACGAATGTGTGATCACTTCTGATGGCTTTTTCGGGGGGGCATGTTCGAGATTTTGGGCCGATTTGGGAGGAACCGAAAACAATGTCGTGACATGGCGCTGAAAATGATGACGCCAGCGCCACAGCGGGAACACGATTCGGAACAGGCGGAAGCGCGGAAATGAGGCCAGCGCTGCAGCGAGAGCAGAACTTTGAACAAAAACCACGCGAAAATCCATCTCCCGGGAATCCGGTGTAAACAAACAGTACGCGGAGGGGGGGGCGAACAATCCCAGGACGCCACCAGGGGAGAGAGGAGAGTAGTATTCATATTGTTTAATATTAAATTGTACAGGAGGGGGAGGGGGGAGGGGGGAGGGGGAGGACGGGGAGGAGGAGCAGGAGGAGGAGCAGGAGGAGGAGGAGGAGGAGGAGGAGGAGGAGGAGGAAGGAAGAGGAGGAGGAGTAGGAGGAGGATGAGGAGGTCGCCTAAGCCCTTCGGAGAGACTGGGAGGATGAGGAGGAGGTGGACGGGTCGCCTAGCTGAGATGCTGCAAGAGAGGGTCACGAGATGCGCCCAGGAGGCTCTTGAGCAGCTACGGGGAGGCTCTTGAGAGGCCATCTGGAGGGTCAGGCGCTGAACCCCCCCTGAGGCCCTTAATGTTTAATTGTAGAGGAGGGGGATGAGGGGGAGGAGGAGGAGGCGGCGGAGGAGGAGAAGGAGGAGGAGGAGGAGAAGGAGGATGAGGAGAAAGGAGGAGGAGGAGGAGGAGGAGGAGGAGGAGGGGGGAGGGGGCGGAGGAGGAGGAGGAAAAGCCGCCCAACCCGCTCACAGGACCCAGCCCCCGCCGCAGCTGCACGGCGGTGGGGCCTGGACGATTAGAGCTTTTTTGAGGGCCGCTCCAGCGCGTCCGCAGCGAGTCAAGGCGCCCCCCTCTGGACCGGGGCCGCCGCGGGCACCAGCGGGACGAGCGGATGGTCGACAACTGCGCCAGGCGGCACGTCGCCGATCCAGTCCTCCGCCGCTCCTCCTCCTCCTCCTCCTCCTCCTCCTCCTCTTCCTCCTCCTCCTCCTCCTCTTCGTCCTCGTCCTCCTCCTCCTCCTCCTCATCATCATCATCATCCTTCTCCATTCCTTTTCCTTATGGGCAACTCCTCCCTATCGCGCCCCGAGGCTAGTCGGAAAGGCGGGCCAGGCGTTTCGCCTGACACTTCCTTGCCATCTATGGCCCTGAAGCTGAAGAACTGGCAACAGTTTTACACATGTAGGGCGGGACACTTGCAAAACGTGGCTCTCGCCTCAGCGCCGCTCACCTGCGTTATTCACATTTGAAAGTTGTTCGCGGATTGAGGGCGGTTTGTTTTCAACATGTGGCTCTCGCTTTAGCGCCGCGCACGTTCGTTCAAAACATCTGCAAGAGCTTAACATATTGAAGGCGAGTCGTGTTCAAATTGTGGCTCTGGCCTTAGCCCCGCGCACATTCGTTTAACCAGTGGCAAGGCTTCGCGGATTGAGGGTGCTTCGTTGTTACCATGTGGCCCTCGCCATAGCTCCCCGCACATTCGTTTTAACATGTGAATGGATTTCACGGATTGAGGTTGGACCGTTGTTACAATGTGGCTCTCGCCTTAACGCCGAGCACGGTCTTTTTTTTTACACGTTTGCAAGGGTTTCGCGGGTTGAGGGCGGTGCGTTTTCAACATGTGGCTCTTGCCTTGGCGCCGCGCGCATTCGTTCTTAAACTCACAAAGAGTTGCACTGCTTCCCATGGTTACCGTAACAAGAACAATGTTTGGGAACGATGCCGGCTTGTCAGAGCTGCACTGTTTCGTTGATCCGCAGTTCTGAGATCCCAGGAATGTTGTCCTGGCGCGATTCAGGATCGTCAAGACGCAACCGTCAGGGTGACTCGTGGCGTTGAATTCCTGAGAACGGTGTTCGCGCACGCGTCAGGAGTTTCACATGGCTGTCCCCCGACGAGGCACTTCTTTCAGTGGAAATGAACCGTTGTATGGGCCTGCGAAGAGAAAGCTTGGAAGGAGCATCTATTACAACATTGTTGAGACGTCCTCCTCTTCCTCCTCCTCCTCCTCCTACTCCCCCTCCTCCTCCACCTCCTCCTCCTGCTTTCTTCGAGCGACGCCGCGGCGAGATGAGCACGGACACTGTCCGTCAGTTTGGCCACCTCTTCCTCCTCCTCCTCCTCCTCCTCCTCCTCCTCCTCGGCCCTATGAGCTCGAGGGTCCAGCCTTCTGGTGCGCTTTTGGGTCGCCCTAGGCTTTCAGAGGCTTCCAGAGACGCCCCACTGCTCCTCCTCCTCCTCCTCCTCCTCCTCCTTCTCCTTTCTCCTCCCCTCCTCCTCCTCCTCCTCCTCCTCCTCCTCACCGTTCTCGTCCTCCTCCTCAGCCTTCTGTCCAATTTCGTCATCCTCCTGCTCCTCCTCCTCCTCCTCCTTCCTTCCTTCCTTCCACTCCGCTCGGCGCCACCCCCAGGTCGGGGCGCGCGCCCGGCCGGGCCGTGCGGCGCGGGCCCTCAGAGGCCGGCGAGCTGTGCTCGCTTGCTGCCCTTCCCCGCGGCCGGGGGCTCTTCGGCTGGAGCCCGACGCCGAAGCGGGGGGCTCCTCACCTAGAGCCTCCGGGGAAGGGGTCGCCCGGTGGCCCCCCCAGGAGGCCGCTGGTGGAGCCCCACGCGGGCGCGGCCCCCGGCAGCCCCGCTTTGGGCTGGGTCGCTGCCGGTGGGTACTCGGCCCAGAGAGGAAGGGTATAGTTACGGGCCGGCGGGGACCGGGGGCCAGGGCCAGGGGGCCCAGGGGCCGGACCAGGGGCACCACGGACCGGGCCCCGGTGGGCCCTCCTCCTCCTCCTCCTCCTCCTCCTCCTCCTCCTCAAACGTCTTCCCCATCTTTTTCTTCTCCTCCTTCTCCTCCCCTTGTCCTCCTCTTGCGCAGTGAGTCCAGCAATATTCAAAGTAGTAAGGGACGGGCACAACCACTCAATGATCAGCCCCTGCTCCCATGACGCAGCCGTTGCTTGGAACCTGGCCGTCCAACATCCTCCCGCTCGACATCCTTATCCTTCTTCGCCTCCTTCCTCTCCGCTCTCTTGGCAGGGCAACTTTTCCGGTGCCAGGAGGCTCTTACAGTAGGGGCCCGACCCAGAATCCTTTCACCAGAAACCTAACCCTGAGACCCCAGGAAGTCCATCGACTTTTGGTGTGGGAGCGTCACGCTTTCCATGGCAAAACCATTGAAACCCAGGAAACCCAGGGCACGCTGGAGGCAAGCAGGGTGTTTCTTGGCATGGGTCTCCACTGTATCTCGGCATCGGAGGTCTGCTAATCAAACCCGCTGGCACCACAATGAACCAGTGAGTATGGCTCGGAACGGATCCCACATGACTCCGAGGCGCCCCCCCCCCAGCCCTTCGTCTTGATCTCTGGTTGGTCATGCGGGGCCCCTGGAACTCTCTATCCCTTCCTTTGGGACAGTGCTTGACCCACAGCTGCTTGACAGTGCGGGGGCTCGAGAACGGCCCCAAAAAGCCGAACACTTTTTTCCCGTCGGCAGCGAGGCGGGACGATCCGCTCCAGCGTGGCAGCGATGCAGGGGGCACTACAGAGCGCAATGAGACAAAACGCCGTCTTGTTTCTGCTCCAGATGCTCGGGGTCTGGGCCTCCGCGGCGGCCTCTTTGTCGGACGTGCCCGGAGCCCACGGAGCTACTCCACGGATGGCCTTCAAGGGAGCCTGACGACCCCCCCACAAAAGGGCCCAAACACGACTTGCTATACAGTTCAATGCAACCCCAAGACCGCCTCAACGCCAAGACGGCTCCAAGACAGCCCCCATTCTGCAGCTCAAAGCCGCACGACGTAACACGTCTCGTCTGCGGATGAGAATGAGGGTGCGGGCCTTGAGCGTCCCAAGTGCGGGCCCCAGGTGCGACCGCCAGGTACGGCAGCCCAATCATCCTGGTTTCCATCGCTTCTGTCGGCGGCGCGCAGGAAAAAGGTAGGGCGATGAGGGCGGCCATCTGCGAAGGACTGGCAGGAATTGGCAGCATCGAATCGGGAAGTCGGATCGGATCGGATCGGATCGTGTGTCGAATCGGACCGCATCGGCTCGAAATCGACATCGCATCGGATCGACTGCGGCAAGATTCACAACAATGCCGTGCGAGCATCGGGCCGAATCGGACAGGGCCGACCGGAATCGATATCGAATCGGACCGGTCGGATCGAGGTGGGCCCGGCGTGGGGGGCTTCTCTTGGGGGTCCCAAAACCGTGTGGTGACAGACCCGGCGGTGACCTCGAACTCCACAGAGACCTCACCGCACGGTCCGTCACCGCACGGTTTTGGGACCCCGGAGGCTCCAATCGCCCGAGACGTCCACGGAGAACGACCCAAGTCCCAAAACCGTGCGGTGACGCGGTGACCCCGAATCCCCACCGACCCACCACACGGTGTGGTCACCACCACCCCGCCCGGGGCGATCCGAGCTTGCGAAAAAGTTGCAACCTCGCGAAAAATCACGTCGAGAGCCCTAGACCCAATCGTTCTGCATCTTCTTTCGAGCCCGATCGATCTGTGATGGCACCGGGGCCCGACACCGCCCGGACCCGAAGGGAGGGCGAGCATCGACGACGCCGCCGACGCCGCCGCCACGGACGAAAGCGACGACGAACGAATACGACGACGCCGACGCAGACGACGACGTGCCTGGTGGCAGTCGTCCGGAGGGCTCCCGCGCAGGGGCCCCTCATGATGGGCAACTGTTCCACCACCACTGCCATGTGTAGGACGGGGGAGAAGGGGAGATGAGGAGGTCCTCCTAAGCCTCCTCCTCCTCCTCCGCCTCCTCCTCCTAATCCTCCTCCTCCTCCTCCGCCTCCTCCTCCTGCCTCTCCTACCTATGGTAGTGGTGGTGGAAAAAGGTCCCCCGCCTCCTCGTCCTCCTCCTCCTCCTCCTCCTCCTCCTCCTCCTCTTCCTACCTCTCCTACCTATGGTCGTGGTGGTGGGAGATGGGCCCATGACCTCAGGAATGCCGCCAGGCCCGCGCCTGGCAGGCGGTGGCGCGGATCGTCCGGCTTGGCGTGGCGTGGCGGCCAGGGAGGCGGGCAGGTGAGGAGCCCCGAGGAGGTCGCAGCGGGCAGGCGACTGCGCGCCAGGGCAGCCTGGCCTGAGATATCGGCCTTCGGAGGAGGAGGAGGAGGAGCAGGAGGAGCAGGACGAACAGGAGGAGCAGGAGGACCAGGAGGAGGGGGGGGGGAAGAAGGAGGAGGAGGTGGAGGAGGAGGAGGAGGAGGAGGAGGAGGAGGAGCAGGAAAGGAGGAGAAGGAGGAGCAGGAGGAGGAGGAGGAGGAGGTGGAGGAGGAGAAGGAGCAGAGGAGGAGGAGGAGGGAGGAGGAGGAGGAGGAGGAGGAGGAGGAGGAGGAGGAGCGAGGAGGAGGGGGAGGAGGAGGAGGGGGAGGACGAGGAGGGAGGAGGAGGAGGAGGAGGAGGAGGAGGAGGAGGAGGAGGAGGAGGATGAGGAGGAGAGAGCTTGGTGGAGCGCTTCCGGGCGGCGCCGAAAGAGAGGGGGTGGAGGGGGGGGCAGGAGGAGCCAGAGTGGAGGAGGGACGGTGCTGAGCGGGGTGGGGGAGCGGAGCGGGGGCTCGGGAGAGGGCACGGGGCCAGGACCTGGGCCGGCGTCGTGGGGGACGACGCGGGAGGGAGCCTCGTCCCCATCCCTTCCCCCCGCCCGTGCCGCCCTCCCCCCCCGCCCGCCCGGTCCTCGAACGAGACCGCGTCCTCCATCAGCTCCAGCTTGGCGTCCTGGCGGAATCGGCTCTTCACGCGTGCAGGCCTCCAGGGGGACACCCAATGTATGGTCGGCGGAGTCTTCATATGTAAACGTACGTGCGCGGAGGACGGGTATCCAACATACGCTTAGAGCGCGCACTCTTGCCACGTGCCTTCAGAATTTCGGCGGTTTCTTCGCACGAGAAAATGCGGGCGCAGAGGGGGTATCCAAAATGCGGCAGCAACCCGCGCGTTTGGCAAGTGTTTTCACGTGCCCAGGTCCCCGAGGAGGTATCCAACATGTGGTCGGCGGAAACTTCGCACGTGAAAGCACGTGCGCGGGGGGGAGTATCGAACCTGCGTCTGGCGCATGTACATTGGGGGCGCGTGTTCACTCGTGTAGGTGCCAAAAGGGGTGTCCAACATGTGGCCGGCGGAACAACACATTTATACATACGTGCGCGGATGAAGAGATCCAACATGCGTCTGGCGTGTGTGCGCGCGCATCCAGAAAGTGTTGTCACGTGTGTAGGCGACACCGCGTGAATCCACCATGTGATTGGCGAACCCTTCGCATGTAAAATCACGTGCTGAGGAGGCTCTCCAACATGCGTTTGGCGCGTGCGAATGTGGGACGTGCTTTAACATCTTGTGGAGCCAAGGAGGGTCTCCAACATGTGGCCAGCGGAGGGACGTGTAATGTTTGATTTCCTGGTTGTCACGGCTTACTTCGGGAGGCCCTGGGATACCCCACAGCAGTGGCAATGACGACGGCGGGCCTCGTGACGCAGTCTCGTGTCTGTCGGGGGCCATGTTGGCAATGAGTGGGCGATTGGGGATCCATGCCTTCTGCCCTGAGCCTGTACCCCCCGCTCACGCTGCCCCTGACCTGAGGTCGGGCATGTCCTCCTACAGGCGGGTTTGGAAAATTAAATTAATCCAGCAATGCTGAAAAACAATCGCCCACATACTTGTTTGACTTTTCTTGAATACTCCTCATGTAGGGGGAGATGCCCGACTTAACACTGACCCCGTCCCCCGCTTCGCCTCCCCTTGCCGCCAGGCGGGAGCTGACCCACGCCCACGGGCGTGGCATTGCCTTGCTGCCCAAGAAGGCCCACCCGGACCCGGTGGGGCCCGATCTGCTACAGCCCTACCCAGGCCCCAACGGCTGGGAGTTACCAGATCTCTCCGACATGAGCGGGACGACTGACGTGAGACTGAACGGTGCCTCAGCAGGAGAAGGAGGAGGAGGAGGAGCAGGAGGAGGAGAAAGAGGAGGATAAATTATGTAGGTAGGAAGGAGGGAAGGACGGAAGGAGGAGGAGGTGGAGGAGGAGTAGGAGGAGCAGGAGGAAGGAATAGGAAGACGAGGGGGAGGAGGAGGAGGAAGACCTAGGAAGAGGAAGGGGAAGAGGAGGAGGTGGAGGATGAGGAGCAGGAGGAGGGGGAGGAGGAGGAGGAGGAGGAGGAGGAGGAGGAGGAGGAGGAGGAGGAGGAGGAGGAGGAGAATGGGGAGGAATCTCCCCACCACAGCGGCGACGACGACGAAGTTCGAGGATGGAGCTTTTTAGACGCCTGTGACCCCTCCTTCGGCGGCCTCGGCCGGCTTCTGGGGGGGGGCCCACATGGGGCCTCTGGAGACCTCTGGGACCTCCAGAAACCTCTGGTCAACCACTCGCCTGAGGAAACTCTCCTGTGGATCTCCTGACTGCGGTCAGCCATCGTCAACCAACTTGTGGTGGACGAGAATTCCTTTTCGTCTCCATCTGCTGCCCATCCTGCTCATCCTCCTCTTCGGCTCCTCGTCGTACTCGGCGTGCGGTGCTCTCCTCCAGACTGCAAATCCACATCCAGGGTGCTCGACATCTTCACGTGGCTACAAAGCATGTGATGCTTGCAAAAAGACTGACAAAGAAATGGCCGGGTCCTCCCGCAAGCCGAGAAGGCGCGTATCATCTGCGATGTAACTGAGAGCCCAAGCCAGTCTCGGGCCTGAACTAAAATGACCGGGGATGATGGACACAGCAAGGCGAGAGAAGAATGGAAGGACACATACACACATGCACACACCAAGCGGGACACGCGCACTCTTGGACATCCATCAAGCAACGTCGTAAAATGCACGGTCTTCGGCCCTTGGGGTCTCTTGGAGGCATCTTGGAGGCATCCTGCGCTGTCTGGAGGCTTTCGTGGGCGTCTTGGGCTGCTCTGTTGGTGAGCGGGGGCGGCGCTGGGCGCCTCTGGGACGGCTCCCAGAGGCCCTTGGCGCCCGGTGGCGACGCGATGCACCTGGCCGGGGACCCCTCCGGGACAGTTCCCAGAGGCCTGGGTCACCCGTGGCGAGGCGAGGCACCAAGCAGGACCCCCCTGCCCGCGTGCGCATATATATGTATATATATATATATAGATAGATAGATCGATCTATATATATATATATAGAGATATACACATGCATCCATCCATACATCCATCCATCCACCCATCCATCCACACATACATACACACATACATACGTACATGCAAACATACATACGTACATACACACACACGCAAACATACACGCACACATACATGCATACATACACACATACATACATACATACATACATGAATCCATACATGAATACATGAATACATGAATACATGAATACATGAACACATACATACATACATACATACATACATACATACATGCATGCATGCATACATACATACATACACATTTACAGACAGACAGACAGACAGACAGACAGACAGACAGACAGACAGACAGACAGACAGACAGACAGACAGACAGACACACAGACAGACATACACACATGCATCCATACATACATCCATACAAACGTAACACAAATAAAGATCTACAATTTTGGGGGAAGACAGGGAGGGAGATAAACATAAATAAAGAAATATAAGGATAGAGAGAGAGACACAGAGATATATATAGAGAGAGAGAGAGAGAAAAAACGAGGTCTCTCTCCCTCTACACTTTCATCTATGTGCTCACTAGAGTCACGCGCGCGCTTCGCGCGCGCTTAGGTTCTCGAGTGGTCCGACCCAGCCTCGCATCATCGGACAGGTGCGCACACAACGCCACACCTGATACGATCAGGGTGTGCATGCACACCCCGATGGTCGATTCCGGTGGCTTTTGAATCTATCTGGCGCGGGCGCGGGGGCTGCGCGGCGCGAAACCGTCGCGGGCGTCCCGCTCGCCCGAGCTTCGACACCAGGAACTCTTCGACGCCCTCGGTCTCTGAAGCCGCCCTCGGGCCTTGAGACCGTCGCCGAGCGAGGCGGCCATTTCTGTTGGTTCAGAGTCCCCTCCGGAGGCGATTATCCGAGTCTCCGTTGATGAACCCAAGAACATCCAAAACTCTGTGGGAGGGGACCTAAATCAGGAGGGCCAGAACCATTAGCGGTACAAGTGTTGCCGGCAGATGCATCGAACCAAACCGCCCAGAAGTATTGTCTCTAATGCAACGACGGGGACCTCAGTGAGGCCACGTCTTCACTGTGTTGTTATTATGATAATGCCCTCGTCCCCCGGCAAATCTCAGGTTCGCGATGCGAGCCAGGAAAGGAGCGCGGGCGCGCGGCAGCGCAGACCCTCCATCGGGCAGGCGACGCGCTGTAGCTTCGGAGCTTCACTTGAGTCTCAACTGGGCGCGTGTCCATCGGGCACGTCTCCTAAGGCATACGTGTTTTCGGAGGCGCCCCTGCACGCATAGGTTCGGAGGCGCCCTCGCAAGCTACTCACACGCCACCCCTGGCGTATCCAGCATCTCCACTGTTTGACTACGTCTCGAGCGAGAGCTTCAAGATGAAACGTTGGTACGTAAGCTTCCTGTGGCAACTCAAATGTGGGCGCCTTTGCTGCCATGCTGTGGTGTAGCCGCTGGTAGCGGTTGAAATGTGGATATGCTTTCTGCGGCCTGTCTGCCCTCCTCCTCCTTCTCGTTCCCATTCTCCCTCGCCTCCTCCTCCTCCGCCGCCTCCTCCTCCTCTTCCTCTTTCTCCCGCTCAGAGGTATCCTCTCCTCCTTCCCTCCTCCCCATCATCGTCGTCCACCTCCTGCTGTCCTCCTCCTCGTCCTCCTCCTCCTCCTGTGCCCATCTTCCCCCTCCTCTGGGCACGAGCCCGAGGGCACCAATCGCCAACGACGGCCAAAAAGCACAGGACACGGCAAGCCGGACCCAACCAGAAGAGCCGCGGCAGGCGGATGCAGTACGGGCGTGGGCACTGCAAGCACAGCGCAGGAGAATGGGTTCGTTGCTTCGCGACGCACAATATATATACACACATAGACATACACATAGACATACATATGTTTATGTTATATACATATACATAGAGTATGCGTGTATATGCAGATATGAAGAGAAGGCCGCACCGTGCGCAGCACTTGGCTGCATCGGGCCCGTCGCCAGGCCAACTGCCTGCCTGTCCACGGCCTTCGGCCCGTACCGCCATCGTGCATCGACTGTGGCTCAGAGGCGTCTTGGATACCTGTTGGAGTCTATGGGCATGCTGCCCGGGCGCCTCTTGGAGCCTGTCTTGAAGCCTCATCGGGCATCTCGGGGGCCTGCCGGAAGCCTCTTCGGGGTTCTTTCAGGTCCCTTGGGGGGCCTCGGGGGGGGCCTGCTGGTGGTCTCGGGGGTCCATTGGAGGGCCCGAAATTGCAGTTGAGGTTCACCAAGTTTGTATCCTTCCAAGGAGGAACACGTACGCGAAAGAAAAGCATGACGACTCTTCGGGCGCGGACTCGCGTGCGCATCGGCGGCGGTCCTGGCGCGCGATTTTCGCGCGGGGGGCAGCGCACGCAGGGAACGACTCGCGCGTAGCATCGGCGAAAACCTTGAAACGTAAATTCTCGCGCTGTGGTCAGCGCGCAGCGCCAGGCAGACTCGTCGCGCGACAGAGCAGCGCTCGAGCGCGCAGGGGGAGGGCTTGCGCGCGAAAATGATGGCGCCTCGCTGCGCGACTGCGCACGCACTCGTGCGCGCGGATGCCTCTGAGGATGCACCGCAAACGCGCCGCGTATGCGGGCGCATCGCTGTGCGACCACCGCGCGGGGGGGTCTGCAAGAACAGAAATTGAACTGCCCTCTCGGGGTCGGTCGAGCCGCGTCGACTGGGGTTTCCTGTGAGCTTCCTGTGGCTTTCTGGGGCTCCCCCCGTAGCTCCCCTGCAGTTTTCTGAATGGCCCCCTGGGGCCCCCCTGAAACCATCCTGCAGCTTCCCGGGGCTTCCCTGGGGCTTCCTGGGGCTTCCTAGGAAGGCACCAACTATACACCAACACCGATCCTGGCCAGGATCGGTGTTGGTGTATAGTTGGTGCCCTCCCACTTCCTGGAGCGCCAGGGGCGCCTGCGGAGCGGCCGCGGCCCCCTCGGGGGCGCTTGGGCCTCCCAGGCGCGCCTGGGAGCGCCTGGGAGCGCCTGGAAGCGCCTGGGAGCACCCCCGGAGTGTCTGGGAGCGCCTCGGGGCGCCCACCTCCTCCTCTTCCTCCTCCTCCTCCCATTCCTCCCATTCCTCCCATTCCTCCTCCTCCTCCTCCTCCTCCTCCTCCTCCTCCTCCTCCTCCTCCTCCTCCGCCTTCGCCTCCGCCTCCGCCTCCGCCTCCGCGAGCGTGTGGAAGCGCCAGGGGGCGTTTGGGAGCGCTTGGGGCTGCCCGAAAGGGCACCTGGGGCTGCCTGGGAGCAGTCGTGGGGCGCTCCTGGCGCGCCTGGGAACAGCGGGGAGCGCCTGGGAGTCAGGGGGCTCCTGCTTGAGCCTGCGCGCGAGTCGAGGAGCGCCTGGGGCCGCCGAGGAGCGCTTGGGCGCTCCTGCGGACTCCTGCGGCGTCCGGAAAGGCCTCGGAACGTCTCAAGCGTCCGGGGGCGTGGAATCGCCTGGGGCTGCCTGCGGAGCTGCCTGCGGAGCTGCCTGCGGAGCGCCTGAGAGCGTGTGGGCGGAGGAGGAGGAGGAGGAGGAGGAGGAGGAGGAGGAGGAGGAGGAGGAGGAGGAGGAGGAGGAGGAGGAGGAGGAGGAGGAGGAGGAGGAGGAGGGGGGAGGGGCAGCGTTCGGGAACGCCTG